AGGCTGAAAACAAACTGAGAGAGAGAGACATATCTTGAGAGAAGAAGGATATTCATCTATTTCTTCTCACTAAAAAGAAAGAAGCATGGAAGCTCAGATCTTCAATATACAACGTTAGTCTCATCATATCAAATGTATGGGGTCAACCTTGTTAAAGATCGATGACCATTTTTATCTATGTATTCTTCATTATTATTCAATATTATGTAAATCACCATCCTCTTCTTATATTACGGGATTTAGCTATGACTATAGTTAAATTTTATGTTCAGCTACGCTTGCTTGTTCTTGTCCTCTGTTTTAGATCTAGGATGAATTATCTTTGGCTAGGATTTACCTCAAATCTTCCTATTTAATTAGTTTGTAAAAAGGATTAACACTTTTTAGTCAAACAATTTGGCGCCGTCTATGGGGATTTTCTAGCCAAAATTTTAGTTTCCTCTAGATCTAAAGCAACTAGAATTTCACTCTCCGGGTGTCGTAGCCTCGTCCTCTCATTATAAACACCAACTTGAGAAAGTTGTAGGCAAGCTTTTGAAATAACCAAAATAACCAGGGTCAGATCTATGTATGAAATCGAAATTGTCTGATATCTATACAAAATCCACGTCTTGCTGTAGCGATGGGTTTGGTACATCGTATGAGTTGTCAAAGTGGGATTACAGCCACTATGCACTGAGCACATTCGCAATCCTATTTGCTATATCAACGTTAGATACCAATCTATGCTTCCACCTCTTAGGAAGGGATGATAGCCTAATGTGTGATCCTTTGAAATAACCAGCTTGTCCTGCCTTATTTTTGTACCCGTATGTACAGAGTATAACTTATGTCTCCCTTATTTTTGTGCACATCGGGCGGGATCGGATGGGGACTCGAGCTCGAGATCCCAATGGGCAAAATTAGTTGTCAGCCCATAAGGAGCCTAGACGCGACTAACGGTGAAGCTAAACACGAGGCTACCAATTTGAAGCCGTCATTTGGGTACGGGATAAACGAGTCATCCTACAGCGCCCCTTTCACCTCGCCAACCTATCAGGTCAAGGTAACATACGATTTTGTTTGGGTTTAACTTGTTATTTTTCTTTTTTGGATTGGTATAGGAACACGAGCATTCTCCCAGGTGCGCGAACAAGGAACAAACGCCACCAAAACAACACACCAGAAAAATG